TTTAATCACAGATTCAATCCAGATCAAGGGACCCAAAAATTTTTGTTTCACTTTAGCTGAATAGGCGTTTTACTGTAATTACGTTTGCTGTGTATACACGAGTGGGCGAGCTATTCAGAGTGGAGTGGGTGCACCCTCGCGTAGCCGGTATAAAAGATGTGAAAAACGGAGAAATTAACAGACCTTGCCGTCCTCAACGCAGCGAGTGAGCATGACGATGGTAGGGATCTGATAGTCCCACACCATCTCCCAGAATCTGTTGGCTGTCAGCTCGTTGGGCCTACGTGAGGCAGCGTCGAAAATGATGGCAAGAAACAGAAAAGAAAGAAGGAGTAACGTCAATAATGTAAGTGTAAGGGAAGAATGGGTAGCGTTAGTAATGTAAGTAAAAGAGAATGTAGTAAGGCTAGATGAAAGAAGTAAGGTACATAGTAAAGAGAAAAGACAAGTTGTATGAATGTAAGTGAAAGAGCAAAGGTGTGGTGAAAGTGTCACCTTGTGAGGCAATGTAAGCTTTCTTCTTCTCTGGATACCCCTGTGGAATAGTGAGACATTGTCTGAGCTTGAATTGTAATTGTGGGAATGTAGAGACATTGGGCACCACTGCTATCAGAGCCTCATTGTCTCTTATCTTGGTTGAGTTGTTTGTGGGAATGTAGAGACATTCTGGCACCACTGCTATCAGAGCCTCATTGTCTGGTTTCACTTATGGTTGGGTTCTCATTGTACTGGTTGACCAGCATGTCAACCATGTGAACAAGTTTTATGTTCACACTTATGCTCTCATCTATAAAAACCCCCATCCCATTGTGTGAACAGTTCAGGCAGTTTCTATGAAGCTTTCTCTAGGTAACTTTAGGCAGTTTTTTCAGGTAGTTTATTTATAGCCACATGTTGTATAGTGCTTTATAGCCACTCTCTGTGTACATAATATAGTAAGAGGCTGTATGAAGTTCTGCTCACATCAATGAATGAAGCATTGATGTAGTCAGAGCCCTTCTCTGCTGGATTTTCCTTCAGCTGGACCCTGCTGTGATCATCTGCAGTAGAATGTGAGTCATTAGAGTACTAACGACCAGGGGTTTACTCACAAGGGAAGATATTTTTGAATCTATTGTGACTGATGTTGCAGACGAGTTTTGCAGCTTCTGTAGATACCGCAGGAAGCTTTTCCAATGACTAGAACACACACCACACACACACACACACACACACACAGCACTAGAGCATACTGAAAGATTACATTGAAAGTTTAGTCAAACCTTGTACTCGACCTCCAGCTTGCGATCTCTGTCTTGATGCAACAATTTCACATATTCCGGGAACTCAGCCACGGGGACATCACTGCGAGAAACCACTACAAAATAGGAGAGTTTGACACATACTATTAAATTTCACTTTCGTTATAATTATTGCCTATGTTGGATGGATCTTCAAAGTAGTATTCTTTCTCTTCCTCATTGCTTTCCTCAAAATCTTTCATCTCCAGTCCACTCTGACTCCCTCCCTTCTCTTCTCTTCTCTCTCCTCAATGGTTTGGGAGGTGGCAGTGGTTTGGATTTCACTTTCACTGATCCTCTGTGACTTCTCCTCCACCTCGGGTTATGGACACACAAACAATAAGTGTCTGTGAAAGTGAAAAAGTACTCTATACCTGACAAAGACGATGAGTAAAACTGCGAGGAGCAAAATTAGTAGGAGAACCCCAATAACTGCTCCACTTGTGGGTGCTGCCACTGCTGAACTGCTGATGCCAGTAGCTCTCTCTTTGGTAAAAAGACGTAGCTCTATGCATGTGAGCATACAATGTGTGTATGGCTATACTACCTGCTGAAGTTGTCGCTGAGGTGTTTGTGCTAACTCCTATTCCTTCAGTGTTAACAGCAGCCACACTTATCTCATAGTCTGTTTCTGGTGTCAAACTTAGTAGAGTAATTTCAGTTTCACTGGTTTCCATGGTATCCTTGTTCTCACTCCCCACTGCTCCGTACTGGACTAAGTAGCCAGTGATGTCTCCATTCTGATGGATACATGGTACACTTCCCCACATCACAGTGATGGTGGATGATGTAACACCAGCCACACTCACAGAAGAGGGACCAGCAGATGGAGCTGAAAATGAAACTGTAATTAGTTGTTGCATCAAAACACTCACAATACGTACCTACTGGCTTGGTAGTAACCACGGTACTGTTACTCCCAACAACACGACCTTCGTGCCAAACTGCAACTTTCACCAAATACTCTGTGTGCTCTTCTAATTCTTCCAGAGTAGAGTTGAGTGTTTGGTTTTCAACACTCATCGTTTTATTGTCGTCAAAACACTTCTTATTAGTGTTTGAATAGGAGATGTTGTAGGTAGTGACTGGAACACCAGATGCAGGGATCCATGATAAAGATATGATGTAGCATCTGGTCTAACAGCAGGCAAAAAGACTACTTGATCTGCAACAGATAACGTCATAAGCAACATTACTCTCTGCTTATTATAGAAACCTACCTAAAACATTAATAGTGATATTGACATAAATGGATCCACCAAGAGTGAAGTTACATCCATACAATCCACTCTGAGAAGTTGATATGCCACTGAAAGTTAGGAGACTGGAAATCTTCTTTTCACTGATGATAGAGTTAACTGGGGTAGGAGTTACTCCAGGCCCATTCCACTGTATGCCTGAGGCATCAGTGACATCTATGGGCAGGGAAATGGAGCAGGTGAGAGAGACAGTGGCTCCAGACATCATGGGGGAGGGAGGAGAAGATGTGAGCGAGATGGTCGCTGGTACTACATGTAAACAATGAGATTTACAGTTAAGGCAATAATCTCAAGAGTAGTATACCTATTAAAGTATCCGGTCCTCGGGATCTAGAACTTGATAGTGTACTGGAGTCGGCTGATACACTGATAGAGAAGGTTGCTCCTGCAATTAGTCCAGTGATGACGACGCTAGTATCTGTCTCAGCAGCTGTCACTGAGCCACTAAGTCCTCCATTTATTTGGTGTAGTAGATGGTGTAGCCAGTAACATTGGGTCCTTCTGATGGTGTCCAGGTCACCAGTAGACTGTTCAGTCCCATTCTGAGACACTCTCACATTAGATGGAGGAGAGGGACCTAGTACTATGGTTAAATTTTGCTATTCTCTGGAACTTACTCCCGTCTTACCTTGCACAGGTAACTTTGCTGAAACATTTGAAACACTGTTAGCTATTAAACATGTGTAGAGTCCTGCTGTTCTGTCTGTCAGAGTGTGGGTGTACTGTGCAGTCACTCCATCATTCAACACAGTCTGGGTTCCTTGGGTGACAGTGGTGGAGTCTCTGGTCCAAGTGACAGTGGTAGCAGGTCCACCAGTGGAGATACAGGTGAGGGTGAATGATTTGTCATTATGGAGAGTGAAAGTCATACCACCAGACAATAATAGATGCCCTGAGTAGAGAGTGCTGGTTTAATGTACATTGTAAAACCCAACATTACCTCCTCCAGTGTTGTACAGTCCAACATAGACAGTATGAAGTGTGGATGCAGCATCCAGTACTGAACATCTGTATATCCCCTCTAGTGCAGTACCAGTGGTGGTTCTCCTCAGTCTCACTACCATAGGACCTCTGTTTCTGGTAACTCCTGGAACATCAGTACCATCTACTCTAGTACCATCTGGTCCAAACCAGTTTCCTGAATTAGGAGTACCAGGACGATTAGTATTACAGAGTAGGGCATCGTTGTCAATGAAGCCGATATCACTGATAGCGACATAGCCATGTTTGGGGATGACAGCTCCATTCAGCCTGATGAAGACATCTACATACAGAATGGTCAATCAAAGTATTGAAACAGAAAGTGAATGCTCACCATCAGGAGTCTCAATATTCTGTGGTTGGCTGTAGACTCCAGTACCAGCACTGGTCCTTGCTGCCACTTCAACTGTGTAGACTGTCTGTTTAGTCAGTCTACTGAGTGTGTCCATTCCTCCACTGGAGTCTCCACTAGGAAACCTATGGCTCTGATCACCTCCCTCCTCCCCATACCTCACTATGTAGCCTATTATCTCTCCATTTCGATGCCTGCAGTCCACTGGCTCCCACCTGACGTAGATACTAGTGGAACTGACCACTGACAACCTCACAGAAGAGGGAGGGGCAGACGGAGCTGTGAGTGGGAAACGTTCAGAATGAGAGAAGAGACTCTGAGAGATAGACCGACCAGCAGTTCTTGTGGTGCCTGTGACAGTATCTTGTTCAGTCCTTCCTCCAGTCAGAGTGGCATTGACAGTGATAGAATACTGAGTTCCCTCATCTAGACCAGTCAGTGTATATGATGTCCCACTAGTAGTACCACTTCTGGAGTCAGTGAAACAGTCAATGTTAGTGTTGGAGTAGGAGATGGTGTAGCCAGTAGCTGTCAAAGTCCCCTCCAGTGTCCATGAGATGATCAGAGTAGTGAATGAGGAGTTAACTTGTGTACTAAGTCCATCTGTTGAGAAAGGTTCATCCTAAGGCAGAGAAAACCTGTGCCTACACACTGGCATACAAAACAGGTATAGCTATAACACCAGAAGTTTTGTGTAGGTAATTAATGGATGTTGTGTACACAGCTTAGTGGACATGCCTTCACGTCTCAGCAGTTAGTAGACCCTTAGGAATGGCTTTTTGGCAGTCAATGTTTCCACTCAATACTTCGCCTTCTTTTAGCCCTCAACTCACCATTAGTCCTGACATACACAACACTGTATGGTCCAGTACCAGCAGCATTCAGTGCTGCCACTTGGACAGTGTACAGGGTTGATGGAGACAATCCAGAGAGTGTAGCTTCCCTAACATTGCCACCAAAAGCAGTAGTCATTTTCTCTACCATTCCATTTCTCAGAGCTTGTACTCTGAATCCCGTTGTTCTTCCATTACGGTCAAGACAAGGCACCTCTCCCCACTGGACAGTGATTCCACTAGCTGTGACACTAGTATTTCTGACTGAGGTAGGACCACTGGAGGGAGCTGTGTAGAGAAAGAAGTGAGGGACAGGGAAAAGCTAATAGTATCTCATACCTGTCTCCAAGGTGCTTGAAGTGACCTTATCACTGACAGGGCCACTACCGACTGCATTGTATGCTGTTGCTGTGATAAAATAACGATTGCCTGGCTCTAGGTCAGTTATCATTTCAGCAATGAAACCACTATTCACATTGATACTACCCTCATCCTCATCAGAGCAGCCAACTGAGGTGTCTCTCTGCCAATGGACCATAAACCCAGTCACCACAGAGCCATCGGCTGGGACACTACCAGTGATGGCTATAGTAGTGTCGGTGACTGAGAGATCTTGCAGGAATGGAGCTGAAAATGGAACTGCGAAAAACCTCATTATTTGCATACAAGCAGTATAAATTGTACTTACCCAAGGGAACATCAGCTATATGAACACTTTCACTTAAAATCGTTGATGTGGCTCTTATAGTAATGGTATAGGTCTCTCCATTAGTAAGTTGAGTTAGTCTGTAGCTATCTCCACCAGTAATATTCACACTGTCACTGTTGCTTCCTCCAGTGTAAGAGATAAGATAGCCAGTGATACCAACCAGTGGAGAGGGAGGAGTCCAGCTAACTCTGATGCTAGTGGGACCATCCTGGACTGCTGTCACATCAGATGGACCTGAAGAAATGTGTAGTTTCAAACTCTGGTTGTGATTGAAAATGGATATTATTTTAATACCTAATGCGATCTTAGCTGATGCAGTAGAGGGCTTGTTATTAGACACAGTACAATTATACAGTCCTAGAGTAGTCACAGTCAGAGTGTGGGTGTACTGTGCAGTCACTGGGTCATTCAACACAGTCTGGTTCCTTGGGTGACAGTGGTGGAGTCTCTGGTCCAAGTGACAGTGGTAGCAGGTCCACCAGTGGAGATACAGGTGAGGGTCAGCTGGACTGGGTCAAATGTCACTCCTCCAGGAATTGAGACACTCCCTCCTATTATTAAACGAAAGCCTTAGCATCTTTGTATGTTTAAGCTACCACAATTTCCTGATGCGCTTAGCTAACAATTTACCTTCACTAGTATACAGTCCCACATAGACTGTGGCTCTCACTGAGATGTCTGTATCATCATGGACAGCATTGGTTGGAATCTCACAACGATATATACCAGTTGGATGAAGTGGCACTATTTCTACGACGAAGGTCATGCCTCATATTTGCCTCAAATTCATAAACATCGCCATCTCCACTCTTGTTCTGCAGAGGATCACCATCAGGGAAATACCACTGTCCACGATGAATACCTTCGCCACTTCTGCAACATGTACTCAAATCAGTACGACACTGAACGCTGTTTCGTAAAACTTGTTTCCAACCATTCCGAGGTCTACATAACCATGGTTGGGTATAGCCATATTATTCCCAAAGGAAAGACGAGGAAATGTCTGACAGTCAGTCTCCAGACCACAGAGAAAGACACAGAGCTAACAAATATCTCGAATCCATAGCGCAACAATCCAGAATCGTTGACGAACTGCTCGTATTTATACAGCGAATTGCTTTTGGGAGCTGCTTTTATTTTGCGCATGCGCATCGGGTTACATGTTGTTGAGGGCTCGGGAAAATGGCGAACGTCTCCTTCTCATAAATCTTCGTCTGTTTTATGGACATGAGGTATCGTATCGCTCTATCCTCTGTGCTCCAGTGTCATTGACCAGCAGTCAGAAAATATGGCTGTCATTTGCCGAGATTACGAGTCATCGACCCAAGTTTCAGCTGTCCAGCAGAGCGTGGGCTCTTCTGGTCGCCAGGTGCCAGATTATGCTCCGGTTGGAGTCAGAATGGGGGGGCTCTATCGTATTTCCGATTATCTGGACTGGAACTTCAGATTTCATGTTTATACTGTTTGACTGTTTGACTGTATGCATATGCCCCTCGGGTCCTGCAAAATGAAATTTGACTTCGACATTCCCCCACGCCACGCGCGGGCTTACGCCTGCAAACGAGACTCAATTTGGGCCGTCAGTGTAATTCAAACATGCTTAATTACCGAGCAAAAAGGTACATTCTAACCAACTTTGCACTAACGAAGCATGAAGCAATTGCCATAACAGTGTCACTAACTACGGTAGTACTTTAGGGATGACTGGTTTTCCTGCACCATGCCCAGATTTTCATACGACTTTATGCTTCAATGAACACATTTATTGTGTGTCTGCAGGAATTTCCTGAGTGTGGGTGTGTCAGTGAGAGAGGGTCACCGGAGAATTAAACTTTCCTTCCCTTCCCTCCTCATTGCAAGTGTAACCTCCTCTCTGCTTTTCTTTCCATGCAACTGTGTTTAATTTTTTCTCACTACTAGATGATGGTGTATGTGGTAGTACAGTTGGTTGAAGAATTTGAAACTGATGCCACCAAACCAGATTCCTTTGACATTGTCACCAACAAGGTTTAGTTGTGGACTATTGTTAGGGTAGGGATGCAAAGTGATAGCGAAATTGAAGTGAGATAGGGAGAGGTACTGAGAGAGATGAGCGTTGTCATGCGCAAGGCTGGTCGTGCCACACCTGCAAAAAATGCAAAACTGTTAACCATTATTGGAGGGGGTAAGGTAAGCGTTACATAAAAGCGAAATGCAAAATCGTTGGAAATACCCTTATTGTGGGAGTAAGGGAGTGTGGGAGGACGCAAATAATTTTGAGTTCAATAATTTATACCAAACGCTTGTTTCCGCTTCCGGGGGCGCACAGCGTACGATTTATTCCGCGTGTGTTCTGCGCATCGATCATAGAGTTGTGAACTGAGCTACAGAAAACTATTGTGACAAGTGCAGTCAAAATTCACGCCATGGCACATGAATTTAGAGTCACATATCTCCAGGAATGACATCATAGACAGGAGTGTCTTTCTCCTCTGTGTCAGCATCAGTATGTGGGAGAGGGATGGTGGGGAGGGGCTGGCTGGGGGGATGGGCAGAGGACGAGGGAACCTCATACATATCCTCCAGTTTAGGAGGAGGAGGAGGAGGGTCTCCATGAGAGATGTCCACCAGCTCATATCCCTCTTCTCTCTCTCCTCCCCACACCTTCTCATAGGCCTCGTTAGTTGAGGCGTGAATATCATCACTTCCTGACCTGTACCTGCACAGATGAAAATTAATGTTAACACATAGTGATTCATTTATGCTTCACAACACAAAATGTTTCAGACAATACTCCTAGTGTATGCCAGTAAATATAACTTGATAGACTGTACTCCACACACCACACATTATTCTTGTCAAAATTGTTAGTGAAAAGTAACTATACATAGCTAATACCTGACAAAGACGATGAGTAAAACTGTGACGAGCAAAATTAGTAGGAGAACCCCAATAACTGCTCCACTTGTGGGTGCTGCCACTGCTGAACTGCTGATGCTAGTAGCTCTCTCTGGTAGAAATTTGTTAGCTCTAGACATTATAGCATACTGTATGTAGCTAGCTACAGTACCTGCTGAAGTTGTTGCTGAAGTGTTTGTGCTAACTCCCATTCCTTCAGTATTAACAGCAGCCACACTTATCTCATAGTCTGTTTCTGGTGTCAAACTTAGTAGAGTAATTTCAGTTTCACTGGTTTCCATGGTATCTTTGTTCCCACTCCCCACTGCTCTGTACTGGACTAAGTAGCCAGTGATGTCTCCATTCTGATGGATACATGGTACACTTCCCCACATCACAGTGATGGTGGATGATGTAACACCAACCACGCTCACAGAAGAGGGACCAGCAGATGGAGCTGAAAAGAAACTTTAATTAATTGTTTATCAAAACACTCACAATACGTACCCACTGGCTTGGTGGTAACCATGGTACTGTTACTCCCAACAACTCGACCTTTGTGCCAAACTGCAACTTTCACCAAATACTCTGTGTATTCTTCTAACTCTTCCAGAGTAGAGTTGAGTGTTTGGTTTTCAACACTGATCGCTTTATTGCCGTCAAAGCACTTCTTATTAGTGTTTGAATAGGAGATGTTGTAGGTAGTGACTGGAACACCAAATGCAGGGATCCACCATAAAGATATTGTAGTAGCATCTGGTCTAACAGCAGGCAAAAAGACTACTTGATCTGCAAGAGATAACCTTATAAGCAACATTACTCTCTGCTTAGACACCTACCTAAAACATTAACAGTGATATTGGTGGAGATAGATCCACCAAGAGCAAAGTTACATCTATAAAATCCACTCTGAGAAGTTGATATGCCACTGAAAGTTAGGACACTGGAAAACTTATTTCCATTGATGACAGAGTTAACTGGGGTATTAGTTACTCCAGGCCCATTCCACTCTATGCCTGAGGCATCAGTGACATCTATGGTCAGGAAAATGGAGCAGGAGAGAGAGACAGTGGCTCCAGACATCATGGGGGAGGGAGGAGAAGATGTGAGCAAGATGGTCGCTGGTACTATAATTATGTGAACAATGAGATTTACAGTTAAGGCAAGAGTAGTATACCTATTAAAGTATC